AAAAAAAAAAAAATGTTTAGAAGAACAGCTTGCATTAAAAAGAGTTAGAGTTTGAGAAATTTAACTTGCACCACAGTAACACTAACATAAAAAAAGCAAGGTAAAAAGTAAAAGTGAATGCATATTGTGTGTAGCCTTTCAGGGTGTCATCGAGTGTTATAGGAAGTAGATGAATTAAAGCATATATCTAATATAAATCAAGCAAACGGCCTGATGATAATAAATTACTATGGTCAAAATAAAAGCACTCATTCTTCCACCTCTGGTCAAATTTTGTTGTTTTGTCCTTTGTAGTTTACGTCATTTCCTTAGAGAAATGAATATGGCCCGTCACCTTTCATGCTTATGTGAGAAATGATGGAGTTATTTTAGACCATCTTAAAACCAGCACCATCTGCAGGAGCCCGTGCATTCTGTCAGCACTAAGTGTTGGAAACCACTTCTAGCTACAACCACGTCCCAGTTTAGATCAAAGTCTGTAAAACTGTCTGAGTTAGAGCTGTTTTTGTGCTTGCTAAGGTTGATGAGCAGTGTGTGTGTGTGTGTGTGGGTGGGGGGGGGGGGGGGGGGGGGGGGGGCATCTTAAATCAGACTGACTTTAAAATGTATTCAGATGTAAATCTGTAGTCCCTGACTGCTTTCTAAGACTTTCATGAACCAGTGGTTCATGTAATATTTTGCTAACAAACAGGGTTGCCTCCAAAAGTTATTGTTAAAGTTGTACACTTAAAGCTCAGATCATCTGGTAGTGCTTGGAGTGTGCATTAGAGATGACTCTCAGATACTACCACATAAACGTTTAGCTCAATATCTATAAACTGAACCAAGTTCTTGTGTTTGCTGAGATGGAGTAGGTGTGGCAGACATCTTGAATTGGATTAATTTAATATTCAGTCAGTTGTCTTGTGTTTTTTTTTTATGTAGGTTTTTTTAAAATGTATCCAGTGTTTTATGCAATATTTTGCTAACAAACGCATCGCACACACACACACAAGAAAACCTGGTTTAGCATTTCACTGTAACAGTTTTTTAGATGTGGGGATCTAGCTGTAAAATGATTATAGTTTGTGGTGTCTGTTTAATTCATGTACAGCAGGAGTTGTACAAAGTGTTTTTATACTGATAATTCTTCATCTGACCAGATTATGTCATCTTTTTCTATTTGTTATCGAACATTATCTGAGTTCAAACTCAAATCATGGTTCATTTCCTGTAACGACACATGTTTTAGACGGCTTGACTTTTATTTATTTATTTATTTGTCTGCGCTCATATTTTTGTGCCAGATGTCTTTTCCGCTCACAATAAACTGTTCTATTCAACGCATGCCTTCAAAACTTTTTAACATTTTTTTTTTAGAAGGGATGAAAGAATGGCAAATTTTGCAAAATGGTGGGGATGGTTGGAGAGTTACAGAAGTGCCCAATCCACATCCGGACGAGGAAGTCCGAACAGCCTTTGCGACTTCTTTTTAGTGAGTCAACAGAATTAGTGTCCAGATATATAGCTCTTCAATTCATACAGCATATTTGTAGAATATATATAATATAGTCAAAAATGATACAAATATAAATTCAACTTGTTTGTTTTGTTTGCAGCATATGTGAAAAGTTACAAATGATTGATCTGAAGAAGGAAGGATACAACCAGTTCTTTATGGATCACTTTCAGCCAGACATCAGAATATCTGACTGGTGAGGAAAAACACATAACTTCTTGTTTTTCATTGTATTGTTGTAATAATAATAATAAGGCCACTATGACGAAAGTATGGATCTGGAAGCATGCATTTCAAATTAATTTCATTTCATTGTTAATATTTGTACTATTTTGAATGTTTTACCGACTATAATAGTTTTTTATGTCGTTTGTGATGTGCATGCAACCTGTCGCACACCTTTTTGTTAAAGCAGTTCATCTTCTTCATGAACGCACGAGCATTCCTATTTTAAACGATAATTCATCCACAGGCATTTAGTGAATGTTGAGGCATTGGATGGAGTCTGCAGCTGATTTTTATTAAAAAAAAATTATTACAAGCTCACAATACAAGGCAGGTTTAAGAAAACTGTTTTTGTGCAACAATTTTGAGGACCCAGGACACTTGTTTACTTTAAACACTTTCACTTCCGTAGTGCTTCAGCAGCACTTTATATACATTATGCTGCATCACAGACACGTATAAATGTATTTTTTATATTTTCAACAATCAGACTGATTGTTGCTAAGCTTGCAGAAAACTTTAGTGGAGAAGCCCCCCCCCCCCCCCCCCCCCCAAAAAGCCACCATCACCACCACAACCATGGAACACATAGTTTCAGAGTGGAAGCTTGATTGATGACCAGTTTATATTTATTAGCTAAACCTGTAACATGATTAAGTGTAAAGACTCCTTCACTATGGATGATAACCCTGCTTTAATAATAAATACATACATACATACATACATAAATAAATAAACAAACAAATAAATCCACGTGAAGCAACCCCATTACCCCAACACGTAGCTGTAGCATCATGCAAACTTGGAGTGATGTGATAGCTTGTAGCCACATCTTGACACGGTCTGAGAGTGTCACGCTAGTGCTAGACGGTGCACAGTGCAATCCTGGACATACTTGATAGTATTGTTGTGAGAACGTGCTGTTAACACAGAGCGGGGTGAGAGTGCAGGAGAGTTGTCTGGAGATGTGATAGGAAAACCTATTTGTCAGGTACTAAGAGCTTCCTGAGCAGCTTCATGAGTGTCTTCACTCTGGCAGAGGTTTTCCAGATTTGCTGTAGTGCAGCCACATTCTAATGTACATAAGTTGTGTATGGAGAGAAAAGGGTTCTTCAAGAAGTGTGAATGAGGCCTAAAGAGGATTGTTAGCCTTCCTTAAAAAGATAAACTGGCCATTTTTGAAATCGTTCTGTTGAATATTTCTCAATACATCTACCTTATATCAGTCATTGAGCACAGAGTGGAAAAACAAGCAATAATCTGTCCAGGCTGTTAATGGCTATAAGCAAGGGCCCGTTTTATATAGTTTTTATTTTTTATTTTTTTATTTTATTTTAAAGCTCTTTTTATTTCTTGAAAGTAAATGGCATACCTATTTACTTTAGCAGATTTTAACCCTTGGAAGATCTTATGGGGGGAGGGGGGGGGGATCAGCCAGACATTTATTTATTTTTTTTTATTTTTTTTTTATTTTTTTATTTTGGTGTTGTCCTTACAAGTAACATGATCGTTCCTGATAAAGCCTATAAATACATTTTTTTTTTTTTTTACTTTGTCAGGGTTGTTTTAAATGGTTCCATAAACTCCCAGTAACTTTACTTCCCTCCAGTGCAGTGTTGTCCAAAGTGCAGTCCTGGGGCCATTTGTGGCCCTTGGAGTGATGTTGTGTGGTTCACAACTGCAGCTTAAGGATGGTATAATTTTGGCCCATAGGCATAAGAGATTGTTGTAGACATTTTGCAAATTTAATGATGATATTTTTTAATATAATTTTTAGGTTTAACTGCAAAACCTATAAAATAAATCACAAAATAAGCAATATTAAATTTAATACAATCTTTTGGCAATAAATCCATCCATCCATTATCTTTACCTGCTTCTTCCATTTTGGGTCACGGGGGTCGCTGGTGCCCATGTCCAGCAGTCACTGTGCGAGAGACGGGGTACACCCTGGACAGGTCGCAAGTCCATCACATGGACACATAGAGACAAACGAGACAAACAACCATTCAATCTCTCATTCACACCTAGAGACAATTTAGAGTTACCAATCAGCCTAACATGCATGTTTTTGGTCTGTGGGAGGAAACCGGAGCACCTGGAGAAAACCCACGCATGCACGGAGAGAACATGCAAACTCCACCCAGAAAGGCCCCTGGACCGGGGTTTGAACCAGGGACCTGCTCGCTGAGAGGCAGCATCTCTACCAGTTGCGCCACCGTGCTGCCCCTGGCAATAAATCAATAAAATCAAATAAATTAAATAAAAAAATCAAGTAATAAAACATTATAGTTTATGAAGCTTTTAATGTTTTGGATCTACAATAATTTAGAACACCTTCTCCACCAAAATTAGTAAATTTTGTCCTTTCTCCAAAATATTGTTTACACTGAGTAAAAAAAAAAGCACTAAAAAATATGTATGCTTTTTATTATTTATTTATTTCACTTTTTTGTGGCTCGCAACGTCTTTCATCTTCAAGGTTTTTGACCCACATATGAAAACGTTTGGACACCCCTGCTCTAGTGTTTTTAGGGGGAAAAAAATAACCCTGTTGAAATCCATTATAAATGCATTTTTTGATTCCATATGTATCATATCATAACATAATGCTGTAGTGTGTCAAAGACAGCTTTGCTGTGGACATACGGTCCCACCAAATGTGTTATTTAAAACACGTACGGTCCCACTAAATGTGTTATTTAAAACACGTACGGTCCCACCAAATATGTTATTTAAAACACGTATGGTCCCACTAAATGTAGTGAAAGTGGGAGACAGCTTACTGTACCTTCACTACTAATTAATTATTTAAATATAACGGGTTCTTTCTTTTTCGAGTTAAATTAATGCCATGTGATGAGGTAACTGTGAGGATTGTTTAATCAGTGACAAGAGACGTTAATTTTCCTTTGACCCATCAGAATAAATGTGGTCATTTATTTAACAGAATCAAAAGTTAACATCAAAACATGTACACATGATTAGCTGATCTGGTTCTGATTAATAAAACTTGGCACGCTTTACTAATAAGACAACAAGACATTTCTGAAGGCATCTAGATTACTGGCAAAATAGAAGAGTTTAAAGGAATGAGTTTATAGGTTTAAAGAAAAGATGGGTGAAGAGAAGTGTATGTTGTTGACCAGAATTGGCACGCTTCTTTCAATCACCAGCTCAAACCTCCGGTACACTTAGCACGTGACGACTCGTTACCTTCGCAGGAGATAAATCAGCTCCGGTGTCGGGTCCATTTCAACACTACCTTCCAGCGTCTCCGGTAAGAGCGGCTGGTCATCGTCAGAAGTCGTGTCAATTTACCCCGTTCAACAAACAGGCTCAGCTCCCTTCGAAGTTGGAGGCGTTACACCCGGGTGGATTCACAGCAAGCATCTGTGAGTCCGTCAGAGTTTCCACTCAGAAGTGGAAGACTCCACAAGGCTTGAGAAGACTCCATCAAAGACTGAGTTCAACTCAGATCCAAGACTTCAGAAGAACTCAGAAGAGCTTGAGAAGACGGAGAAGACGGAGAAAACTCCGTAGACGGAGTAGACTGAATAAGACTCAGTAGACTGAATAGTTCCAGGAAGTGTGGACTTTTAAAGAGTTCTCACTTCCTGTCACTTAGTGCTTCCTGATTGGTTGAAACAACCAACAGGGGGTGGCTCTAGTGATGTCAGAGGGTTATTAAAAGTCAATAGAGGATTCAGGAATGTTTAGGAATGTTTAGTACAGACAGAGAAATGTTATGGCGAAGTGAGACACGCAGATGCCAGTGTTTCTCTTTTTATCGTATGCTAAGTTTAAAAACAATACAGCCCGTTCTAATAACTTGTTTTCTGACTGTCTCTGACTTTCGACCGACATCACTGACTTCTCATTCAGACAGAAGATCAAAATGCATAATTACTTTGTAAATAGACATTTAACTTGATTTCTAATTTAAATGAGGTTAAAAAAAATCATTAATACTGTTTCACAGTTGATTTAAAATGAGTGGTTCACTTCACCATTAGGAATGATATGAACTAAACACACTTTGATTGTCAAGATATTGTAAAATAGTAATGATAATATAAAAAGAAGAGTGTTCTTTCAATTGATTAGTTCAGGATACAATTAGACAGTCTCTGGATGAGCTAATTTGTATTTCTGGATTCAAATCAATGAAATAACAGTTCCTGTCCCATGAAGGTCTTCAGAAGCAGGTTTTGGTCAGAGGCCGAGTTCACTACAATCGTTAGTGCCCAGATGGCAACACGAAGCAACACGTCATTCATGTCTAGATGTTGCTGCAGAGTTTCTTCTCTCGTAGGAAAATGCCTCATTCATTCATTTTCTTTCTTACTTTTCAAAAACTGTCTTAAGATAAATATTCTCTAGCTTAAAAAAATAATTGTGGAGGTCATTTTTTTAACTAAAGGCCCTTAAGGAGTAAAAAAAAGTAATTTAAGATTGATTACTTTATTGTGGACAAAATATGAAAATGTGGTATTTTTAAACAGTTATGAATAAGGTGGCTGTTAAAGAACATTTATTGTCATGAAATTAAATGACCTTCTAAGGGTTTCACCTCAACACTTTAGCATGACACCATTTGTTTAGTTTGTTGGTGCTTTCTCAACCAAACAAAATGTATGTTACTACAGGCATAGTTGTCTGATGAGTGGAGCAACTTATCCCATTTTCTAACTTGGAGGCTAAATGTTTTACTTCTTCATTTTGTGACTTAAAATGAGTTATTCTAAGCAATAAGTCAAAGCAGGTAGTGTATATTGATTCTAATTTTACTTTGTTAGTTACAAACTAAAAATCATTATTGAAAATAATTGCTACGCCCTTTTCCTGAAGCTTTGAGTTGGTTCAGTTCAACTCAGCAGAACATTGGTAGCCACGAGCTTGCTTGTCAGACAGTGTTCATAAAGATGCAAAAAAAATATGTAAAATAAATAAAGTTGTTTTTTAAGTGTTCTAATTGTGCTGTCTTTTTCTGTCAACAAATCAGACAAAATAGAGTAAAAAAATGGAGTAATATCACACTAATCAAGAGGGCAAGACAGTCAGGAAGTTGATGAAATGTGCCTAAAGTGTCATGATCACATTCTCTCTGCCACACCCACTTCCCTGCAGCTCATTAGCACTCATGCCCCGCACCTGCTCCTCACCCTATTTAAGAATCCCATTCATGACTAATAATAATAATATTAATAATACTTTATTTATAAAGCCCTTTAAAACAACCACAGCTGCCACAAAGTGCTTTACATATAAAATCAAGAACATTTAAACACATAAAAACAGTTGTTAAAACATTAAGATCAATAAAAGTAATAAAAACAGTGCAGATCAAATTCAGTGTGTGCTAAAAGCCAGGGAGTAAACATGTGTTTTTAAAAGAGTTTTAAAACTGGACAGTGAAGGGGCTCGTCTGATGGGAAGAGGGAGATCGTTCCACAGTCTTGGAGCAGCAACAGAAAAAGCTCTGTCCCCTCTGAGCCTCCGCTTAGACCTCGGCACCTCCAGGAGCAGCTGATCAGCTGATCTGAGGCACTGAGCAGGAGAGTATGGGTGAAGCAGCTCAGAGAGGTAGGATGGAGCAAGACCATTTAAACTTTTAAAAACAAATAAAAGAATCTTAAAATGAACTCTAAAATGAACAGGCAGCCAGTGGAGTGAAGCCAGAGTGGGGGTGATGTGCTCCCTTTTTTGAACTCCAGTTAGAAGCCAAGCAGCAGCGTTCTGGACCAACTGGAGGCGTCTGAGGGAGGACTGGCTGACTCCAAGGTAAAGAGCGTTACAGTAATCCAGCCGAGAGGTGACGAAGGCATGGATTACTGTTTCCAGCTGCTGTTTTGTAAGGATGGTCTTTACCTTAGCCAGTTGTCTGAGGTGATAAAAACTGGTCTTGACCACCGCTCCAATCTGGGACTCTAATTTAAAATCACTGTCCATTTTAAAACCCAAGTTAGAAATAGTTTTCTTTACATGTGGTGCCAGAGGGCCCAGATCAACAGGGCAAGGTTCACAAGAGCCACTAGGACCAAACACCATCACTTCTGTTTTCTTATCATTGAAATTTAAGAAGTTTAAAGACATCCAAGCTTTGATGTCTTCAAGACACAACAGAAGTGGCCTAATTGAGGGGGCATCTTTCTTTTTAAGTGGCATATAGATCTGACTGTCGTCAGCGTAACAATGAAAAAAGATCCCATGCTTTCTAAGGATTGATCCCAATGGAAGCAGGTAAAGGGAGAAAAGCAGGGGACCTAAAATAGAGCCCTGTGGAACCCCAAAACACAGAGGAGCAGTGGAGGATTCAGACCCAGCTATGTTGACAGACATGGTTCTGTCTGCCAGATAGGACCTAAACCAGCTCAGTGCAGTACCACAAATACCCACTTGGCGCTGTAAGCGTGATATTAAAATGTTATGGTCCACGGTATCAAAGGCAGCTGTTAGGTCGAGCAGGACAAGAACCACATGTTCACCAGAATCATTAGCCATAAAAATATAATTAAAAACTCTGACTAGAGCTGATTCTGTGCTGTGGTGAGTTTTGAAGCCAGACTGAAAAAACCCCAGGATATTGTGCTCATCCAGAAAACATTTGACCTGTGAATATACAATTTTTTCTAAAATTTTTTAAATAAAAGGCAGCTTGGAGATGGGCCTAAAATTAGCCAAGACAGTTTGGTCTAGGCTAGGCTTTTTAAGCAGGGGCTGCACCACAGCATGTTTAAAACTTATTGGGACAACACCTGAGGACAGACTGCTATTGATAACAGCAAGAATCACCTGCCTGATGCTGGAAAACACCTCTTTTAAAAGACGAGGGGGGACAAGGTCACGAGGAGAACCTGATGGTCTAATATGGCCAACCACATCCTCTAAAAGGGTCAGGGTCACTGGTTCAAATCTATCAAACACAGCCAGGCAGGGGACCAAGCAGGAGGGGTCAAAAGCAGGGGCTGAAATAAGAGCCCTTGTGGTAACAACCTTATTTATAAAAAACTGCAGGAAGTCATTACAAAGTTCAGTAGAGGCTTCCAGACAGACAGGTTGTGGGGCCTTCAGGACAGAGTCAATAGACTAAATGCTGCCAGATTATTGTACCATTCTTGTTATCTGATATCCAGACATCTTGTTCACGCCTGACGTTCACGTCTTGTTCTTTGGATTTTGACCTCACGCCTTGTTTTATGGATTTACTGTTCTGCCTGCTCCTTGTCTGGTTTTGTTCTGTCCATCTGACCATGGTAACACTTACTCTTTCTGGCCTAAAAATTCTGGATTACGGTTTGACCTTTGGATTTATTATTGGACCTCTGACTCCCTGTGCTTGACCCTTGCTTCTCCCTTTGGACCACGACCCTGCATTGCCCCGCTGTCCAGCATCAAAGCCTCCTTCCTGAGCAGATCCTCCTCCGATTGGGGTGACGTCATCTCTTCAATCTCAGACTGGTGGCTCTCACCCCACATGCCTGTGAAGACGTGTTCCAGCAGCTGCAAATCAATAAATTTGTTGTTTGTTTTTTTACACTCGTTGTCCGGTTGAATTTTGAAACCTAAAACCTGATTCTTGACATAAAGACACCGATGGAGCCTCTCAGCACCACTGGAATATAACAATTTATGCTCGGCACACATGTTTGCAAAGTAACTTTGATGTTGTTCAGTTGAGAAATCAGCAGTATTACTGTTGATATGATGGTGTGGGTCTTTACTTGTGGTGTTTCAGGATAATTCCCCGTTGGGGCTGTGGATCACAGTATCATGTCCGTGTGGAGCTGCTCAATAATAAAATGAAGCGTCTCCAGATGTTCGCACCTCGTACTGTTGACCTTAAAACTGGAACATATCTACACTGGAATCAGGTACAAAAACAAAACACTCTCCTTGAAGTGTTGTAAAGTTCAGAAAATATACAAGACTGACTCTAAACCTTCTGATTATTTTCCAGATGACCCATATATTTCACAACTACGGTCCAGGCGTGAGATATATTCGATTTATCCACGGAGGTAAAGATACACGGTTTTGGAAAGGGTTCTTTGGAGTTCACATAACTCAAACCTGTGTTGAGATATGCCCAGCAATGCACAAGCCCATTGGGACAGGCTTGGGGAGAACAGACAAGGACGAAATGAGGAAAGCAAAATCTCATGTATGCACCATATCCTGATTTTTGTGTGTGTGTGTATGTGTGCAGAAACAATAAAAAGTGTCAGCAACATGACAAATGCTTAATACAAAGTTTACAGAGTGGACGAGCACTGATTCAAAAACAACCACTGAGAGTATTAAAATGTCTGATTTATGCATTAATTTTTAAAACAGTGCATCAAAGCTGTTTGTAAATCAGCCTTAAAGAGTAAATATAAATATGAAAATCACTTTTTTGTGCTTCTATGCATTTGCAGTCATGGGAAAGAGAACACCCACGTTGTCCCAGTGTTACTTATCTGGACATAATTTAAAAAAAATCTATTGTTTGTCACGTTGAATTTCACTTACAAACCATGACAAATTGAAGGGCAGCAGTATTTGCTTTTCTACAGTTATTGCTGATGTCTTTCCTTCTCGGCGTTATGCACACTTCTTTGCTCCAAAGCAGCAAATTGTGGTCACATTTGCTGATAATCGGTTAACCAAGTGCATTTTTCCTTTTTAAATCATATCAAAGCAACAAATGTATACATAGCTTGCACACATGGCTTTTCCACTGTTGCTTCATTTTAGTTTAATAACTAATAGTCAGTTTGTTGTTTTTGTACACAAGTTTTTTTTTGCATATCCATATGTATGTAAAACCAAAGAATTGAAAAGAGGGTGAACTTTCTCTTTTACATGACTGTATTTGTGTTAATTTATCTGTCTGTGCAAACAAACTTGTCTACTATGAAAATGAAATAAAAAAAAGCTGTTTTCTCTGTTGAAACGTCATTTTAAGAAGAATTCAGCACTTTATTTCCTTTGATGGTATCAGTAATGTACTTTTTAGATGATGCTACATGAAAATGCATTTGCACATCAGTCAGTGAAAAGATGCTCAGTGTGAGGAAACAAACCAAAAGTTGTTCTTTCAGAAACAAGTCAAATAAAAGACAATGTACTGTTCCACATTTCAGTGACTTTAAAGTGGTGTAACCAAGCTGATGTATGTTCCCTTTGGTTTGTATTGGTCATTAAACTGTAGCCAATCTCAACTGAGGGGGTTGATGTGGAGGTGGTCAGCACCTACACATACAGTATCTGGGCATACAACTGGATGACAGGCTGGACTGGTCAGTGAACACAGCCTCCCTCTCCAGGAAGGGTCAGAGCAAACTCTACTTCCTGAGAAGACTTGTGTCCTTCATTATCTGCAGGAAACTACTGCTCATGTTCTACCAGTCTGTGGTAGCCAGTGTCCTCTTCTGTGATGTTGTGTGTTGGGGAGGCAGCATTAAGAGGAGAGATGCAGGGCGACTCGACAGGCTGGTGAGGAAAGCTGGTTCTGTGCTGGGAACAGAGCTGGAGTTACATCAGTGGCAGAGAGAAGGTCCCTCAGTAAGCTACTAGCCACCATGGACAGTGCTGACCATCCTCTTCACGGCACCCTCATGAAGCAGAGGAGCTCCTTCAGTGGTTGACTGCTGTTCCAGTCCTGCTCCATGGACAGATTCAGGAAGTCCTATGTCCCTCAGGCCATCAGACTGTTCCAACTTCTCCTGACACTATTTTCTCCTCTACTACATTATTTGCCAACTCCTCCTTCAGGGCCACATCTACTCCATTACTTTTTCTCTCCACACCATGGTTAAACTGTTTAAACTCTGCTCCAATGCTGTGAGCCTTGCTGCCCTTCCACTTGGTCTCTTGGACACATAAAACTTCTACCTTCCTTCATCATGTCATCTAGCTCTCTACCTTTGCCTGTCATTGTCTCCACATTTAGAGCTGCAACCCTCAGTCCTACATTCTTGACTTTCCTTGTCTCCCTCTGTCTCCTGACACGTTTCCCTCCTCGTGATCTTTAACTAACAGTAGCACAATTTCCACCAGAGCCTTGTTTGTCAACAGCACCGATGGCGGTCATTGTTAACTCTGGCCTCAACTGATCTGGTATGACCAAAAAGTCCAGGCTCAATAATCCAGGTATATAATCCATCAATTTTCAGTCAGGTCATCTGGACAGTTTTTTTTTTTTTAATCTGGTATGGTTTTGCTTGGATGAACTTGAATATTAGTTTAGGCAAAAGTGTTTTATGTTGGATGCCCTTCCTGACACAACCCTCACCACTTACCCGGGCTTGGGACTGTCACAAGAGATACACTAGCTTGTGCTCCCTAACTATTGTGAATAAATAAAAAGTGAAAACAGCTAAATGCAGCAGCCAGACATCAGTGGCAGCAGATCACAGCTACTAACTGCTAATGTTAAGTGTTCAGTGTTTGGGTGAGGAGCAGTTCAGCAGTCTGACTACACCCGGGTATAAGCTATTTACTTTGTATCAGTCTGGTGGTTTTTGCCCAGATGCAGTGCAGCCTCCTCCCCGAGGTCGGCGGCGGGCGGGGGGGGGGGGGGGGTGTGTAAATAGTGCATGTGCAGGATGTGTGGGGTCATGGAGGATGCAGGTGGCTCTTGTCTTGCACCTGGAGATATAAATGTCCCTGAGGGAAGGTAAGCTGCACCCGATGGTCCTCTGAGCAGATTTACCACCCTCTGCAGCACCTCCTTCTCTGCCACAGTGCAGCTATGGAGGTCAGGATGCTCTCCACCACACAGTTGTAGAAGGACCTGAGGACATCAGCTTCCAGACCTGTTTTGTTCAGCTTCCTTAGGAAGTACAGGCGCTAGTGGGATTTTTTAATGACAGCCGTGGTGTTGGTGTGCCAGGTGAGCGCGTTGGCCAGTTGCACCGTGAAGTACCAGACAGAGGGGAACATTTCCACCACTGCTCCATCAATGTAGAGTGGAAGGGGGGCAGTGCCAGTCATGCAGACATCTAGAACCATCTCTTTAGTCTTCTGGTTGTTGAGGATGTTGTTGTTTTCCCTGCACCAACACGTCAGGTCCTCTACCTCCAGCCTGCATGATGACTTGTGTCCATGGTTGATCCATCCATCCATCCATTTTCTTTACCCGTTTATTCCATTTTGGGTCACGGGGGTCGCTAGTGCCCATGTCCAGCAATCACTGTGCGAGGGGCGGGGTACACCCTGGACGGGTCGCAAGTCCATCACAGGGCCACATAGAGACAAACGAGACAAACAACCATTCACTCTCACTCACACCTAGGGGCAATTTAGAGTTACCAATCAGCCTAACATGCATGTTTTTGGTCTGTGGGAGGAAACCGGAGTACCCGGAGAAAACCCACGCATGCACGGAGAGAACATGCAAACTCCACCCAGAAAGGCCCCCGGACCGGGGATTGAACCAGGGACCTGCTCGCTGAGAGGCAGCAGCTCTACCAGTTGCGTCACCGTGCTGCCCCTCCATGGTTGATGAGTTTAACTAAACTTCACCACAAGGTTCTGGTTGTGGTCTATCATGGTGCGTTAAGATTCATAACTGGCTGTAACTACCATACTCACCAATGCACTCTATATTCATTGGTCAACTGGTCATCATTAACATCACACAGACCCTCTCACTGGTACATTTTCATCTTTAAATGACTTTTTGATCTGTTGCCTTCATACATCTCCTCCTATGTTGCAATATCAGTGCAGCAACAACATGTGCTCCAAAGACATCATTACCTGCAGCATCACCTCAGTGTGGATCGAATTTGGCAAAAGGGCCTTCTCTTATTCTGCTCCTGTTTCCTGGAACTCCTTGCAAAAAGATCAGAAACTCTCGACCTTGACTTCTCGAAGAGCTTTTAAACAACTGTTTTCAATGCAAAAACCAATGGAAACATTTTCCTGTTTTTAGTATTTTACAACTTTTATAATGTAGCATGCTTTTATTTTATTTTATATCACTTATTTTATATGCTTTTCATTTTATATGCTTTCATAGTATGAATGTTTATAGTTGTGTGCACCTCATTTATGATTTTCATTTAAAACAGGTCTCTCTTGTAAATGAGTCCTTGTGACTCAATGAAACTAGCCTGTATAAATAAAGGTTGAATGAATTCATTCAACCTTTATTTATACAGGTTGGTTTCATTGAGCCACAAGGACTCATTAACAAGAGAGACCTGTTAAAGAATGTGGCGAGCTCTGCTGTCGCTGGTACTGCGAGTGAACAGCAGTGGGCTGAGCACGCAGCCCTGGGGTGAGCCAGTGCTCCTGAGGATGGTGGAGGATGTTGTGTTGTTTATCCTGATCCTGCAGGTAAGGGAATCCAGGATCCAGCTACACAGGGAGTTCCCAGTGCTGCCAGATTTGCCACTAGTTTGTGGTATGATGGTGTTGAACACAGAACTGAAGTTCAGGAACAGAGGCTCACGGAGGAGTCACTGGTCTCCAGGTGAGAGAGAGTCTGGTGGGTCAGATCAGTGATGGCATCTGCCGAGGTTGGGCCTGTAAAGATACCTTTTTTACCTTTTTTGTATATATATATATATATATAAAATAAATTTATATATTTTATTACTTTTTTTTTTTTTTTTTTTTTTGAATGAACAACAATTTACAAACAAACCAAGGCAAACAAAAAAAGTAATACAACGCATCAATTAACTTTCACAGGTTGAGTTATATACATTCAAATAATATGCAATAATAATAATAATTACATAACAAGGAACACATGTAGAGGTTTATATCAAATTAAAGTTATTAATCAAAGTATAAAGCTGTGGAGCAGATTTACTTTAAACCAACTTAAGAGACCCACAAAAATATTTCAGGTAATTTTCTCAATGCCATAAAGTTGGATTCACGGGCCTGTACTGTATGTGGGGCACTTCCTGTTCCACACTCCGACCAGTAGGTGGCGGTAATGAACATGCCGGTTATTTTGCCGACTGTCAATATCCACAACGACGAAGTTTACAGGACTGTACTTTCTTTTTAAGGTTTCGCTGCTCCGACAGTCAGGTGTTTGAATATATGCGCTCAACCAGGAGTTTTGTTTATTCAGTGACTCACTTGCGTCGTAGAAAACCTGAGCGTCCTGTGATGAGAGGAGGGTGAAAGGTAAGGCTAAAAGGGAGCAAACACTTTTTTTTTTCGTGTCGTCCTGCTTAAATGACTGAAGGTCTGAAAATGCATTCGGTATTTGTAACTGGACGCATGTTTGTTCTTGTAGGTTCCGAGAGGCGACAAGTCGAGTCTGGCTTTATCCATGACGAAGAAGAGAAGTAGAACCATGGGAGCAACAAACAGTTCTGTTGTCTCAGCTAGTTCATCTGCAGCTGCCTCCACATCTGGGCGTCATCCTGTAAGTTTAAATACAACATCTGGGCGTCCACCGTATATCCAGCCCCCAAACCTAACAGCAGAAAAGTACCAAAGATCACTGATGGTTTTGACACAGAGCCAGTGGTTCATCATGCTCAGCACATTCATTGTCATTGTTACTATTCAGCACTGGCATTAAAGACTTCAGTCTTGCCAAAACAGAAAGTGACGCTGGTGAAATACTTTGACTTGTTTAGATTCTTCTACCCATATCGACATAAAATACCACATCGCCTAACAATCCAGTTTATCGTTGAAGCTGTCATCCCAAATTAAGACCTTGTTTCTTTTTTGGTTCAACTATGTAAATTTATGGGTTTTTTTTAAGTGAAAACATTTTTTTTGTAATTTCTAGTAGATACCACTCAGCTTCAGGTTGTGTTGGTCTCCATTAAGCTACTAGAAATGTACCTGTATGACTACCGTAATCTTAAAATAAAAAGTTCCATTTTTTTTTTGTGTGTGTTACAACCTGGTTCTGGGGTTGCGACAAAAAAAAAAAGGGAAAAGGACATAAAACATGATTTTAGGAATGTTTATTGTAAAATGAAAGTTTGATGGCAAGATGGAGAAGCTCAAACCTGTCAAAAGAAGAGTTGAATTAACCAAACCAGGCCAAATAAACCAACTAAAGCAAACCAAGTCAACAAATCAACACAACCAAGACAGACCCAAGGAAGACGAGCAAGGCGCAGGGACAGGCCTAATGGGCAACACAGCACCCCTCTCATACTGCTCAGTGATTACCTGCTGCGCTTCTCAACACAGCCATCCCTACAGCAGCTCAGCCATTCACCTTTTGCAAAGCCATTAGCTACTCAGCTGTATTGAAATGTCCATTTACCCAGCATTCCTATAACATTTGCTTTATAGGATGTTGTCATACGACTAGAGATTAGCCAGTTTTCCAGTTTCTACCACTGGTAACATTTGAAAAGCTCCACTGCCCACCTCCTTGGATTGTGCTTGCACAACTTTCAAGTTATGTAACTGGCTACTCCGCTGTTATTTAGTGCAGATCTTATCAGGGTTATTCTCTTCAGTGATCTAAAACGTGTTCCCTGTTGCCTCCCAGCCAAACGTTTTGTGACATTTTTCCTCTGCTTTGCTAATTGAACCTGCCCGAGTCAAGTGTGAATAACACAACAATAGCCCCAACCCCCAAAAATGTTATTGCTCCTAAGCTTTCTAGTTGTTTTCCATACTTTGATAATTTCATTCTTTTTCAATTGTTTTCAAAGAGAGAAATATAAAATCAGAGTTTTTTTTCCTCCGTACAATTTTAAATCTTAATCGTTTAGTTCATCACCTCATCAGTTAACGTTTTTCTTAGTTCATATCAGATCTTATTACTGTTTTTCTTTACAATTTATATTTATGTTGGGTGTAACTGGGACCTGTGTACACAATTTCGTTCCACCTCATGTACCACGTGTGGTGCGAATGACAAAGAACCTTGAATCCTTGAATCAATAGTTTGTGTGTGTGTGTGTGTGTGTGTGTGGGGGGGGGGGGGGGGGTTGTGTGTGTGTTTTTCAAACTCTTACTTCTTTTCTTTAGGGTACCATCATCCACAAAAAAGTGTTCTGTTTATATATTTGAATGTCTTGGAAAATTCATTATAGTACACGTAATCATTAAAGAAAAAAGTAACAGACTAATCACACCACCTTGTGGTGTACCATTGTTAACAGTGTGTTGATTTTATAATTCAAATCCAACCTTTGCTTTGTTTTTTCTTCCAAACAAAAATAAAACACAGTTCTAATCTCCCAGACCGACCCCCAACTTATCCAGTTTATTTCCTCCTCTCTTCTTTCCTGCATTTTCTAAATTACAATGTCTGATTTTGACTCCATTGTGCTCCTTCGTTTGTAAAACCATTCTGGTAGCTCACAATCGGTCCTCTTGTATGATAACCTTTCAGTTATTGTTCTTTTTATAATTTTGCACAAGTCTGATGTCAGTGTTTCTGGTTTGTAGCTTCTAGGTTTGGATGGATCCTTGTCAGTTTTCTTATTGGGATGATAACTGTAGTGGGATATTGGGTATAAATATTTATATAATGTATAAATATTGGGATAACTGTTTCTATGCACTCACAGTGTAAACTTCTCTCTATCCACACTTTGATACAAAGATCCAATAACTTCAGAAGTTGTTTTTCTCCTTGTTTCTTCTGCATGGAACAGCAAACCTGATCTTTTTCCAAAGTGGTCATTTTAGCTTTACTTTAAGCTCTCACCATCTCAGCCAAAGTACATGTTTAATCCATTGTGTTATTTCTTTCTTCCTTTCTATTTAACATCTGAATGTTGGTTTTATGTTCTGTCTCTCATTCTGTCATCTTCTAAACTGTGTAGCTTTGCAAAAACTCTGGCTATATTTGCTTTTTTCCTATTTGAGATTGCAGTTTCATTTTCCACTGTCAAAACTGGATGTTCAAAATCGCCAGTCACCTTTTTAATCAGTCCTCTTACGTCACTGTTAGGTGTTATTCTAGCAAGTCTGTCCATCCATCCATCCATCCATCCATCCATCCATCCATCCATCCATCCATCATCTTTACTCGCTTCTTCCTTTTTGGGTCCCAGGCCTCACTGGTGCCTATCTCCAGTAATCACTGTGCGAGAGGTGGGGGACACCTTGGACAAGTCTCCAGTCCATCACAGAGACACATAGAGACAAACGAGACAAACAAACATTCATTGACAACATTCCTATTTTTTTTCATAGTGATTTTTTTTATTACATGCTGCTGTAATCATTTGTGCCTTTTATAAGTTTTCTTTATTTTCTCATTTTATATTGATCCCATCAAACAAAGAAATATTCTTTTAGCTGGTCCTTTTAGGTCCATGTCTAAAAATAAACACATTTGACATGTGATTCTGTTATTTGGCTTTTTACTTTATTTTTGCCAGTGCCTTACTGCACACTTTTATATTTGACATATGTAGACTTTTACTAATTTAAAAATACTATAAGAATGTCACATTTATAGAAATGGCCCTTTTTGTTCATAATGAAATATTTGTCTACATTCAACAAACGTTAAACTGTAGAATTATATAAAGTTGAATCGAATCAAATCGTTCTGTTTTTAAAATAAATCTTTTTTGAATCGAATCGTAACCTTTGTATCTAGATGCGAATCGAATCGTCTATCACACAGAGATGTACAACCCTAATTCACTCTCACTCACACCTAGGGACAATTTAGAGTTACCAATCAGTCTAACATGCATGTTTTTGGTCTGTGGGAGGAAACTGGAGAAAACCCACGCATGCACAGAGAGAACATGCAAACTCTACTCAGAATGGCCCCTGGACCGGGGTTTGAACCAGGGACCTGCTCATCGAGAGGCAGCAGCTCTACCAACTGTGTCACCGTGCTGCCCGAATCTAATACCAGTGATAGGAACTGATTTTATTTAATCAAACCATCAGATCATTAGTGCGCTTTGTGTTTTTGTCAGATCTTTCTTCTACCTCCGGACATCCTGGAGGAAATCTTCCTCAATCTGCCCCCACATGTAGTTGTTTGTGTGTGTCGGCTGGTGTGCCATCAATGGAAAGAAGTAGCCGACAGGGAGTCTTTCTGGAGAGAAAGGTGTAGAAGAGAGGGCTATCACGTCCACAATGCTTCCAAAGTATCCAGTGACTGGAGGCTGTTTTACTTCTTGTGCAAGAAAAGAAGAAATCTTCTCAAGAATCCGAGGGGCGAAGGTAAAAACACTGACCAGTTTACAGAATTGTGTGTCGTTGCCATTTGTTTCTCGCTAAGAAATAAAAGAAGATAATTTGTCTTGTGCATTTGGTTTTGTAAGATGAACTTCGAGGTTGGAAACTATTACAGAACGGTGGTAACAGGTGGATTATAGAGAGACCTATTATGCCGCATCCAAACGAGGCAGTCCAGAAGAACTTTGTGACCTCCTTTAGGTGAGTAATTACCAGCAGTGATCCAGAAATATGTGCCAGTGACTTCACAGGTTTTATTCAGTTACTTTAGTAAGTACCGTAATCTCAGGTCTATAAGCTGCTACTTTTTTCACATGTTTTCAACACTGTGGCTTATCCAATGCCTCGGCTAATTTATGGATTTTATTTTAGTTTCAATGGGCTAACAAGCTTCCTGCTACCAAAAACATTTAGCTTCGTCTTATATCTTTTAGCGTACCGTCTGGCGTTCGTTTAGAGTATATCTTAGTGTATGTCTTAGATCCTTATTTACCACTTCATACCACATATGGTGAGAATGACAATAAACTTATAGTGTAATACTTTTGGTAATAGCTGCTGTTTTAAAATGTACTTTCTAATTAGAATAACGTGATTTCTGCTCAGCGGAGGAGGGAGGAAGAGGGAAGAGCCCCTCCTGTTCGTTGGTCTTCATGTGTTCGGATGTGAGCTTAAATGAGATCTCGCTATTTAAACACACCGTACACCGAAATATGTCACAGAAAAAATTTAAAAACTTTTATTAAAATATGTACTTGACTGCTTTCAATGCCTGACCATCGACACGTTGATGCAAAGCTTACAGGCGGCAGCTCTGTTTCCTCCTTCGACAGCCAGATCCATCACTTTTAACTTGCAAGCTGCATCATAAGAAATTCTCTGTGCGTTTTCCATTATCGCTGAACAAATGAACAGTCTGTGCATGAGGTGTAAAATACAGTAAGTGATATGAAGTATTTAGTGCAAGTGCATTACATTTACAGCAGCTAGTAATCAGAAGTTTCATTGGGCCACTGTGACCTGTCCGGTAATTTTATTGGTCAGTTTTTTTTTACCTTTGCTTACTGTAAACAGGTAGCCTTGTTAATGCACGTCTAAAGCCCCCAGTATACTGCCGCGTACATCCATACGCAGAGGTATGCACGTACGTACGCAGAGGTACGTGCGTACCCCCCAGGGCATGTCCGTGCAAAGCTCAAATTTTTACGACTGCATACGCGTATGCGGTGTCGCACAATAAACTGCCCAGCGACGGACCGTTTTGTATGCGACACCAATGTATTAAATTCCCCTTCTTCATCCCTGATCTGACCTTTTCTTTAGTTTTTTTGCCAAGAGGCAGTGATCTCTTCCTCCTTCTTTGACGCAATGACTGAAATGGTGAGAAATGAAGGAATTTGTCACGAGCGAATTAAACTCAGGTCCAGCGTGGCTGCGGGAGGGTCTGGAGATTTCCTGGTGGGCTGGTCTGAAGTGTGGGCTGCAGGACCAGCGCTCTGTTTTTTTTATTTTTTAGATCTTTTTATTAACAACATATAAACACAGAACACCGCTGTGGCTGAGGCTGCCAGCGCTCGCTTTTTTTTCTTTTTTCCGACCTGTCAATCAATCCAGTAGGCGTGTCAGCAAATGACCAATCGACGACCTCAATTTGTCCCGAAGGTAAACGCCCCTTGTCTGTGAAGCTGCTCTGCAGCTGCTCGGGGTGTACGCTGGAGTATGAAGTCTGAACCCTCTGCGTACAATACACGCGTACGTACGCGTGAACGGACATATGCGGCAGTATACTGAAGCCTTAACTTGGGGGATGGGTCCTGAGAGTACCTCATTGGTCATTTGGGTTAGAGTTCTGGTCACATGATGACCGAGTGGGTGGAGTTATGGGTAAGAAAACTGAAACCCTGAGCAAGAGGCTTTGTACATGTGGTTACCTGAGGCATTCACTCTGATGTTACAAAAGCTTGCCTCTCAGAGGGGTGCGTGTTGGGCAGCTACATGAGCATCCAGCTCTGTCAAAAGAAAATGTTATTCAGTGGCAGGAAGCTGCTGAGAGATGGCAGGAAGCCTTTCAAAATATAAGAATACAAATTATTAAAATTATTTTAAAAATACATAAATTAGCTGCTCCTGCATTTTAACTGTGAGGTCCAAAGTCTGAGAAAAAATTAGCAGCGTATACAGTATGCACAAATCTTTACTTTTTATTTAATGTGTGCAGCTGTAGAGGCATTGCATTTCCATGGTCGGACCTCCAGATTGACTGGGTCGGACCACTCACTAAAACCTCTAGAGGAAATAAATATTTTCTCACGGTAACCTGCGCGTTTACCAAATGGGTAGAATGTCTACCAGCCCCTAATGACACAGCACAAACCACTGCTATGTTGTTAGTGAATCATGTATTTTCAAGGTTTGGACTTCCCCTTAGGGTGAACTCAGACCAAGGTACACACTTCACAGGTGAAGTAATGAAGGAACTGTGGAAGACGCTAGGCGTCAAAGCCAACTTCCATATTGGCTACCACCCACAGGCTTCAGGCCAGGTTGAGAGAGCAAACAGGACTGTGGTGAGTATTTTGAAAAAATACGTAGCCGCAAACCACAAGGACTGGGACGTGAAACTCCCTCTGGTCCTCATGGCCATAAGGGCCACTCCACACACGTCGACTGGCATCGCTCCTTTCGAGATGATGACGGGTCGACAAATGACTCTCCCTCTGCACCTGTTGTACCAACCAGGCGATGCTGCCATGGCAACAGCCTACACCACACAACAATACATGAAAGACTTGGAAAGACACCTTAAAAACACTTTTGCTTTCGCACAGAAAAACCTGGAAAAATCAGCTGAAGGACGCAAAGCGTACTACGACCAAAAGGCCTCTCACGAGGAACTCCAAGTGGGAGACAGGGTCTGGTACTACACGTTTGCACCCAAAACTGGGAGAGTAGAGTCCGGGACCGGAACTCTCGCCCGTAAGCTGATGCCCAGATGGACTGGACCCCATCTGATAACCGACAAAGTGTCTCCAATTATCTACCAGATAAAAATCAGTAAAGGCCAAAAAGAGCCAACTGTTAAATGGGTACACCGTAACCAGGTTAAACCACACAAGGCGTGCAACAACTCCTCAGGAGACAAAGATCTCACAAAATCTGACCTCGTGGGAATAAGGGTCATCCAAGCAGAAGATAACTAATGGATAAGAAACTTAACCATAGTTTAAATTCACAGGACCTACCCTTGACCATTACGAAGCTAAGACCTACCTCTGTGTGCTTCCATAGGACAATGATGGTACCACTCCTGGTAATCTTCACCCTCCTAATGGATAGGATTTTTGCTGACATGCTTAGAGATATCAGTTCGTCGGTAGATACACTAGCCACCGGTAGGATCCCACCGTATCTAGTCTCTCTACAGATGGTGAACGACATCCTCAGCTCCGCTACGCACGAAAAAGTTACGCAAACACAGGCACACCTGGCTTACACTCTCGGTAGCGCAATCCCAATCTACGTCAATCACAAAACATTTGAAATGGCGTTCATTGTCAACCTACCGATAATTCCCTCAAACGGCATATATAGACTCAGGGACGTCGTAAATGTTGGCAATTGGCACGGCGAAAACCATGTTCAAATTGACACACCAAGGATGGTTGCGTACCACGACGACAACCCCTCCGTTTACCTAGCTCCAAACCTGCAGATGTGTGTTCTCACTCGGGAGATACACTATCTGTGCCCGAGCAAACCGTTTATGTGGAATAAAACCGCGGGCATATGCGGATTAACACCTATTCCGGAAAATTCTAAGTGCTCAACGACCGTAACGCCTCGACACCTGGCTAAAGATGCAAAAGCGGAAATAATTGGCTCTCGTTGGCTAGTGAACGCTCCTCAAAGACAGGCGATCATAGCCTACGATCAACCCGGGGCAAATAGACCTTTGGCGTTACCGGACAAAACGATGTGGATCAGTGTTCCCCAGGGAACAACCATACACATTGGTGATTTGACGCTCTATCACCTCGATCCGGAACGATGGGACGCGACTCTGGATGACTCAGAGTACCTGAGAAATATGTCTATAGACATAGATCCAGAGACTCTGGGAAGGATCCGTTTTGAAGGCACCCAAGTTGTCGACGTGGAACCAATAAACCAAGTTCTCAAGTCCCTCAGGTCCACAACTAAGAACCCGATCCAACCAATTAACTATGCGTGGTCGAGCGCGGACACATTAATCATAGCCCTGCTAATGACGATAACCCTCGTATTGTGTGGGATACTCGCATCCCTGTCCCGGGGCCAAACGTCACTCCGAGTCGACGTGGATCGCCATGCAGCGCACCTCGATATGATTATGCCTCGCGTAAGCGGGTCCGCAAAGAAGCCACTCACACGGGACAGCGCGACTGAAACTGACAACCAGGGTGAGGAGGAGCAGTGAAACGATGTTTCTAGATGCTTAGTCACTACTCTTGTCAGTGTTGAAACGTTGTTTAGTTGATTTTGGTTGTTTCTGAGGTAAGAATGAATCTTGTGTGTAGTAAGTTAGAGACTAAGAAGCCTTTGACCATGCCAACATGCAGTTCATTCATTAAATTGCAATCTTTGCGGAGTCAATGTATATTATTGCTACTTTAAGTACCATAATCTACATTGATCTCACAACGCTTAAGCCGAACCTACTCGAACAATTCTATTCGGGGGGATAGCTAATTCTTTTTGATAAGTCTCGCCATAGACTTCCAAAACATTTATGGGGAAACCAAACACCCAATCTCAAGTCGTTCGTCTAAAAGACAACAGACATTTGAACCAAACTATATTTTGCCATGTAAAGCTAACTTAACCCAAGTTAGAAATGGAAAAGTAGTTTGGAACCCTTTTCTATAGGCTTAAACCCCTGTAGTTACCCCTTTTCAGCATGCTCCACCCCTTAACTGGTAGTCGTAGCTGTTCTCAACCATAATAGCTTACACACCAGGTGCATATAGTTTAAGGCCTTATGTAAAATCCCCTTCATAAGCCCACTTTAAACCACATAATTGCATGACACATTGAACCAGAACGGCACGGGCTGGACGTCGCTGGAGACCACCTTCGCTGGAGGCGACCTGCAATCCTGACGTTGGTCTCCACTCTTCATCCGGTGGCCGCTTCTTCAGTTCAATCCAAGGGTACCCCTCTGTATGCTGATTAATCAACACTTCCAATCGTTGTGGATTTACCATTGTGGATTATATGACTTTTTCCAGTGGATTACAGACTCTGTTTCCAAGGGGTTAAAGCATTGCTACAATGGAGTATCGAGACGATATGGAATTATAATCAACACAATGGAATTACCAAGAACATTGTGGGATTACCTTGACTTTTGTTTTCCTTGCTGGATTACTTTTGACTTTTGTTTTCCTTGCTGGATTACTCTTGACTCTTGTTTCTTTGCTGGATTACATCAAGCTTCAAGGACAATCGACGACGTAAGTCCATAGTTGGAATTCATCTCCATGGACAGGTGATGATTTCCAAAGGGGGGACTGTAGTGGACTAGGCCTACGTCGAAACCCAGTCTAAGGTCAAAACTCTTGACCTTTAGAACCTTGTGGGACAGGAACTGTCATTTCATGTATTTGAATACATAGATACAGGTTCACCCATCCTGAGACTTTCTTTCTTGAAGATTCAAGTGAAAAGAACACTCTCTTTTTATTATCATTACTATCTTACAAATGTTGATAATCAAAGTGTCTTAGTTCAAACCATTTTAGATGTTGCAGTGAACTAATCAATTTTATTAACTGAGTAATGATTTTTATTCTCATGCAAAAGTTAGAACTCATGTTAAAAGCTGTTGCAGAGTAATTATGCATTTTTCTGATTTCTGCTTTTGAATGAGCAAGTGTGTGCGTTTACAAGGTTACAGTCAAACGAAAAACAAGTTGTTATGTTAAAACTGTCATGTTTTAGAATCCTCTCAGACGTAAATAGAGATGTTTTGCACCTGTGTCTTAGACACGCCAAAACAGAACCCTCTCGGTCTGTGAGAACATTTCTGAGCTGTCCCATAACAATTCTCGCTGTTTCTAACCTCTTACGTCACAAAAACACACCCCTTCTGGTCGTTTCTGACCAATGAAAAATCCCAAAAAGTGAACCGGGAAAGAGTCTTTAAAATGTCAGTACTTCCTGGTCTACACAGACTCTACAGAGACTCACAGGTACCCAGAGTGACTTACGTCTCACGGAGTTACAGACTCAGAGAGTTGTCGGAGTTCTAAGAGTCTGAGAGCGTAGAGTTCGGTGAGAGTCTACTCAAGTTCTGCTGAGTTCTGATGGAGTGCTGTTGGAGTTCCTGACATGACAACAAAGCTCTTCCGAGTTCCATGGGATTATAACATTTTCCACTGAGGTGAATGTGTGTCGAACAGAGCCTCGCCACTACTTCTGACGGGCAACAGCCATTCTAAGGAGACGCTGGACCGGTAGCGTTAACGGAACACCATATCTGCTGATTATCATCAGAGAGGTAATGGGTCAAGTTTCCTACCAAGCGTACCGAGGCGAGCTGGGCTTCTGATGGAGAGTGTCGGTTCTGGTAACATTCAATTTCCCTCAAACCCCATCCTTTACTCCCTCTAAACTTCTTTCCATCTTTAAACTTTCCTATGAAGTAGAAATTCTTCCAGATATTTAGAAATGTCTGTGTAAAATGCTCACCCACATTCATGTGGGCAAAAGATCATAGTTGTACAGTTTTATAAATGTCTGTGGTGCAGCAACGGTAAAATCATGGCCGTATGATTTTTCCTGATTGATTGCTTATGTTGTTATTTTCATAATTTGCCAAATTAATGTAAATGTTTGATGTTAAATTTGATTCTGTAAATAAATGACCGCATTCATTTTGATGGGTCAAATTTAAATGACGTCTCACGTTTGCATTTCCTTAAATTCAATGCACGTTTTATTCAGTCCAGAAAAATGAGGAATCCGCGTTAAATGATGAATACATCCCAGCATCTGTTCATCTACACAGCTTATATTTGGGTGTGCTCTATAGACCGGCAATTACGGTATCATAACTGTCTCCTAAACCCTCTGTTGTCTGCAGCATGTGTATAAAGTCACAAACAATTGATTTGGAGAAGGAAGGTTACAGCCCATCCTTTATGGACGAGTTCCAGCCTCCCATCAGAATATCTGACTGGTGAGAATGATGACTGATAAAACTCTGGAGCTGAGTGTTTCTGTTCTCAGTTTGTGTGTCTGTGTTGCGTTAGGTATGCACCTCGATGTCGCTGTGAATATAGGATCTCTGTGCAGCTGCTGAATCGCAACAAGGCCGTTGTTCAGGATTTTACTCCTGATACGATTTACTTACCAGAGTTTACTATGCAGACTGGTGAGCAGTGGCATCAGGTATGTGCAAGGTATCAAGTTCATTTGATTTGTAGAGCCCTAAAAAAGCTCCAAATGATGGATATTTTTTGTCATTTATTATTTTCAGATGATCCATGTGTTCAAGGACTATGGACCAGGAGTGCGATACATCAAATTTAGTCATGGTGGTAAAGATAATGTGTTCTGGGCAGGATGGTATGGTGTTCGAGTAACAGACAGCTGCGTTGAAATATGTCCAGCCTCAGACACAATGAATTCACTATGAATAGATGTAAATTAGGGGTGTAACAATACACTCAGCTGAGATTTTAATATTTAAAGATTTTAATATTTCTAGAATTGCGCCGCTCAAGGTGGCTGCATGTTGGAGCAGCTCTGTTTCTTCCTGCCTACAGCCATCAGCATCTATAACATCTCTTAATGAAATGAGGATCACAAGTTACAACAACAAATAATTTCCCTTTGGGATTAATAAAGTATTTTTGAATTGAATTAAAGAAAACTTCACAGATATGCTGAAAACAGTTATTTTATTGAACACTTTTGGAGGTGTTGCTGCTCAGCTGACTGGCATCTCTCATGTCACGTGTCAGACAAACTTTCTAATCTTGTATTATATTATAAAATCTTATTATTTGGGGTTTTCTAAAACGTTTTGTTCTACTTCAGTAAATGTGAAATGAAGTCCAGAAAGACAATTTGAGCACTTATGAATGAACCTTACATTCAGTTACTACCTGTACAGCTAATAGTCTAGAATTGCAAATATTGCTGATGTCCTACCTAACTACAACTGTACAAAATCAATATTTGGATATTTTCTTGATATCAAGGTTCATGCTCAATAATCCAGGTAAAAAAAATCCAACAATGTTCAGTCAGGTCAACTTTTCTTGATGTGTTAAAACCTCAGCTGTTCTGTTAGCCGATGCTTGTAAGCCTCATACCTCTGCCTTAAACTGCTGATGCACTTCCCCACCCCCTTTTTGCTTTAAACTGTATGGTCTGCCTTAATATATTGTAAAATAACCCATTTTCAGGAAATAAAATAATCTATGCCTCATTTGTTTCTCAAAACGCTCATTAAAACTCATTTTTTTCTGTGGTCTTGTGAAATCTTTTTGAAACTCTACCAGGACTGGTTAGTTGCATTAAATGAACCTGCTGTGCAATAATAGTGTTATGACTGAATGGACAGTGGTTTCCTAAATTGGGTTATTGTGGGTCACAAAACACTGAATTTGTGGAGCCTTTAAGATGACTTTAGAAATATATATTTTAAATAATTTATCCTAGTATATTTTCACTATAATTGTGATAAATAATAAAAAGAATAGTTGTAATTTTTTTAAGTAGTTTAATATGAGATTTCTGTGTGCGTTGATGTCATTTACCGTACATGTCTTGTTTTAAAGAAAGGAGTGGCAGGATAGGGGCGGGGCTTAGCCTACCCGGAACTGTTCTTGAAGGAAATTTGAAGCGTTTGCTCGTTGTTGATACCGGCGTACACCGGAACGTCTTAAGGTCTTTTCAGTTTTCTGGAAATGTAAGGACTTAAGAGCCACTGTTGTTGGCCATACTATATACTATACTATATGTATATCCTCAACGTTCATGTAAATGTTGGGTGAAAATAAAAAAAACATTTGTGCTTGACAATATTTACGACTTATTTTGTATTCCCGCGGCTAGCACCGTCGTAGTAATCCTGAGAGTGTACTGGGGCGAATAACGAGCGCGACGTTGGTAAACCGAAAGGAGGAATACAGTACTCGTCTAAAAAGTAAGACAAAATTGTTCATTTTACGATCTGGAATTCATCAAAAACAGAGCGATATGTACAAGAGTTAAACATTAAATGAAATGAGATGTTATTTTATTTACTAAGACTCCTAATTTCGACTTCAGCTGCACTTCCGTTTTATCGAACTCAAACTTAATCATACTGTATTCATGAATCATGACGCAACCGTTTTCTCTTGTAGGCTTCGAGGGGCAATATGAAGATTCCCACTGGTACCAACTTGTCAGGTCCAGGTTGATCAGACATGAAGAGGAGACTATGCTTCATGGGTGCAACAACCAGCTCCAGAGCCATGGGTGCAACAACCAGCTCATCAGTCACACAGTCAGGCGAGCCTGTAAGTTCAAGACCTGCAGCTGATCCCTCCACGTGCTTCAGTCCAGATGCTCTTATGTCTCTGAGTTTGAACAAAACGTGTCAATGTAGACAGAAATGTAGAAAACTAAAAACAGGAACATGTCTGCATTGGTCCCTGCCAGGAGTCCAACAGATTCTTTTTAATTAATGACTGACACTTTCAGGATTTCATTTCTTATTCAATTCATACATACTTTATTAATCCCAAAGGGAAATTATTTGTTGTTGTAACTCGTTATCCTCGTTTCATTAAGAGATGTTGTAGATACTGATGGCTGTAGACAGGAAGGATCTCTTGTAAAGGTCCTTCCCACAGTGGATCCTAAGAAACTGGCTGCAGATGCCGTCTGATCTGTCCACCCAGACTCGGCTGGCCTCTCGGTTCCCCCGGGCTGTAGGAACGCCTGAATGCCGGGCAGAACTCCTCCCAGAGCGATGGCCACTCCTCCCAGCAGTCTGCTGAGCTCCTCATAGCTGCAGACAGTCAACTGTAGGTGCCGAGGGACGATCCCGTCCTTCCGCTGTCATGAGCCATGTTTCCTGCTAGTTCCAGGATCTCAGTGGTCAGGCACTCGAGCGCAGCTGGCAGGTAGATGAGAATGCATCCATAGAACATCCTTTTCAACTCATTTGAGATTTGGGGCCATAGTTGAGATATTATTTGAGCTTTTGAGATGTTAATCAGCTGCTGTTGTTGTAGAAAAATGCCTTGTTGCCATGGTTACGCATCATAACAAACATCCAAAACCAAAAAAGTTTCAGTAAAAATCCTTCCAGCTGCACAGCATCTGATACCAGAGGAAACAATCATCCAAAAAATGTGATTTACATCCAGAAAACCAGGAATTAAAGTTTCCAAAAGCAAAATCTCAGAATGAATGTAACAGAGCTGCTCCAACATGCAGCCACCTTGAGCGGCGCAATTCTAGAACCAAGATCAGCCATTCCAGGTCATTTAACTGTGACGGGACCAGAACTTTAACTTAACAGCAAAAGCTTTGTTTTCTGCAGAAAGTACAACAGCTGTAAAACTGGCTCCACCAGAAGAGTGGTTTTTAAATCCGGTTTGTGTCATCCTCCTACACGTTTGTTTGTGTACTGACATAAAATGCTTATCTACACGTTTGTTTGTGTACTGACATAAAATGCTTATACAGTGCAGACAGTGTGCATGATAGGAACTGTATTTATTTTTTTGTTCAAACCATCAGATCATTAGTGCGCTTTGTGTTTTTGTCAGATCTTTTTTCTACCTCCGGACATCCTGGAGGAAATCTTCCTCAATCTGCCCCCACATGTAGTTGTTTGTGTGTGTCGACTGGTGTGCCATCAATGGAAAGAAGTAGCCGACATGGAGTCTTTCTGGAGAGAAAGGTGTAGAAGAGAGGGCTATCACGTCCACGATGCTTCCAAAGTACCCAGTGACTGGAGGCTGTTTTACTTCTTGTGCAAGAAAAGAAGAAATCTTCTCAAGAATCCGAGGGGCGAAGGTAAAAAGCTGAAGAATTTACAGAATGTTCTGCCATTGCCATTTGTTTCTTGCTAAGAAACCTTTTTTGCACCCTGCTTGTTTTGTTAGATAAATTTCAAGATTGGACCATAGTACAGAACGGTGGTGACAGGTGGAAAGTAGAGGGACTTATGGTACCACATCCAAACGAGAAAGTCCAGAAGAATTTTGTGACCTCTTATGGGTGAGTAATTATCCAAAAAAAATGCACTCGCTGACAAAAAAAGTTAAGCACCTAGAAGGTTTAGTTGAAAAATAATTCATACCTTTTGAACTTTTCAACATTTTGTCACTTTACATCCACAAACATCAAAGTATTTTACTAGGTTAGTACATGGTAGAGCAACACAAAGTTCATAATTATGATGTTGAAGGATCACAATACATGATGAGCATGTGCACTGGCATTTTTGAAAAGGTCCATTGAATGATCATTAGTTTCCATCTATCTTTAAGAAGCAATATTCAAAGTCCAGTGCAACCTTTAGTACAAAGTATTTGCACCCACATACAGTTATTTAAAACCAGGGCTTGTGTCCTCTTGTGCCTTAAGATTCCCATCGCTAGTTTGTCTTTCATATAAAAATCCCAGTAAAATACTTTTGAAGTTTGTGGTTGTAAATGGACTAAATGTGGAAAAGTTCAAAGGGTGTGAATACTTTTTCAGTGCAAATGGTTTGATTTGCGAGGAGCTGCCACTTCTAGTACAAGTAACAACACAAGTGGTGACGTCATTAATAGTGTTATCAGGCAGATGCAGGAGCATCCAGCAGTCAGAGTGGTGAGTGAAAGTAACCAGACTCAAAACAGAAGGTGGGACCACCTCAGATGCTTCCAGACTACAAAAGATCATCTTAGGCAGTTTGTTTCTTTTCTTTGTTTTTGCATAATGGTTCTGCAGCTGGTCATATTTCTCATCCACCATGCTTATTGTGCCTTTTTGAGCTCCTCGTTCATAGTAGGTGCTTTCTTGGCTCAATGGGAAGTCCTTAAGAGACCTAAGGGGATGAGCTTGTTACATGCTTGCACTGGTGGCGAATGCTTTGCGCTCACATGCATTCAGTTTGCTAACGTAGAATGTACTTGATTCTGCAGTTGACTTTTATACCATGCTCTTCTTTGAGTGTACAGTAGACCGATCTGTCCTATGACTTTTGCCTCCTTGAGTGTTTGCAGCACTTTTTCAAACTCTGCTTTAAAATTTAAAGCAAAGACCCACAGCTCCAACTATGTTGTCCTCCGCTGTTGTTGATGGAGCATGTCCTGTTGGTAAGTGAGGCAGTTGCAGCTTTTCCCTGGCAGCGAACATGTATGTCCTTTTAACTGCTTCACAGTGGGACTAACAGTACCAATAACTCTTTGAGTCTTTGTTTGGTTCAGAAGTACCTACAGACACATTAAGCAGCATTTTACAGTTTGATAGGGCTCACACTGTTAGTTTCCATAAGGTGAAGTGGTTGTATTCTGCAGTTTCACTCCTTTAGGACGTCCTGAAGTCACAGGGGGATCAATTAGCACTCAGTTGTTTGACAGGCTACACTAAAGGAAGATAGTCTTATTGAGCGCAGACCATTACAGAATCCTATGGCATCTGTTCCTGCACCCACACGTACGTATTGGACTCTTTACGGCACCCCATGTGATCTGCACTGTCTTGAAGACTGATAGAAGCCGGACTTTGGGTTCACCTTCCCATTTACTCTTTGTGTGCATGTATGGACGTGTCAAGGTGAGAGGACCAATAATTGTTTTATTGCTGCCGTCATGCTTTGAGGAACCATGGGATATGACTTCAAGTCTGGTAGGGATTTGTGGGACTCTGATGGCACAGTGCTGTCTGCATGTGAGCACCCTGGAACAGTCTTTCAACAACACACACGGTACGAGAGTCTATGTACTGCCTGTGTCTTGTTGATGTCCACCTGTCACCTGCCCTGATCCAATAGTTTCATTTAATGTCCACCACTTCATCTGGTTGTCTAACTATTTTTTGTCAGTGGTTATATGTTGACTTTTTACATGTTTCATTCCGTACAGTCTCTTTAACCCTCTGTTGTCTGCAGCACGTGTATAAAGTCCCAAACTATTGATTTGGGGAAGGAAGGTTACAGCCCGTCCTTTATGGACAAGTTCCAGCCTCCCATCAGAATATCTGACTGGTGAGAATTTTACACGACTCCCAAGAATCAACTTCCATTAAGGGAGCGTCATGTTTCTGAACTGTGTGTGCGCTTGTGTTGCGTTAGGTACGCACCTCGCTGGGACTGTGGCAGCGAATATTCAATAACCGTGCAGCTGCTAGATCGCAAGAATGTGGTTCTTCAGACGTTTACTCCCGATACCGTTTACTTCCCACAGTGGAACGATCAGCAGTGGCATCAGGTTTGTACAAAATGTGAAGTTCAGCGGCGTTTCAGAGCCAAATAAAACTTCAGAGACTGATTTTTTTATTTATTTATTAATGTTTTATAATTTTCAGATGACTCATGTGTTCAAGGACTATGGACCAGGAGTGAGATACATCAAATTTTTTCACGGTGGTAAAGATACACAGTTCTGGGCAGGATGGTACGGCATTCGTGTAACAGACAGCTGCGTTGAAATATGTCCAGCCTTGGACACGGATCATTGAAGTAACTTCAGATATGTCTTAATATATGAAAAGTTTAATACATATCTTTACTTAAACGACTCACCAAGCTTTTTGTGACCCTCAGAAACATTTTTAGTGAACTCCACAAGTCCCTGTGAAATGGAGAAACTTGCTAACCTCACGCTGCTTGGATCCCGTTTGTGCTTGTAACCATCGTCCAACTTTAAATGTTTTGTTCTGCATGAATACAATGTGTAATCAGTTTAACCTTAAACAGTATATAACCCTCTTCCTATAAAGTAAACAAAATTAATAAAACAATTAACTGGCAATAATTTGTGTACTATTATATTTAACCCCTCTGGGGCATTTCAAACATATTTTAAAGAAAATGGAGAAATCATTATTTTGGGCTTTTTTTTTTGGTAAGGTTTAATTTTAATCTGCTCACTTTTAACCAATATGTTTTATGATTGTTGTATTATTTCATGTAATTGATTTTATGTGTTACAGGTCTCTTGTAAATGAGACGTGTCTCAGTGAAATGACCTGTCTGGATAAAAGTTAATCTTCAAAGTAAAAAAAATAAAATAAATTCCTGAATCTAATGCTTTACTTCAGAGTTAATACAGTGCTGACACTAGTGTCATAAATGTTGATACATGTGATATTTGAAAGGGAATTTAAGTTTTTTCTAATCTGTCTATTTGTCAAATTGATATTTATTCAACCATCCTACCTGGGTGTAATTCCAGAAAGCAGGTTTGGTTAAAACTGAGTTAGATCACCCTAAGTTAAAGGAAACTTGAGTTTTCTGTCATAGAAAGGGAGACAAGTTAAGCAGTCTGTCACCATGGTAACAAACGAATCATGATTTTACAGTTTTCATTAAATTCACTCATTCCTCCAAGTCTGACAACACACGTCCATGAACACCTCAGACAAATGCTCTAATCTGATCGTTTGTTCATCACGCTGAGATATAATTTGCAGAATAAAACATCTCCACATAAGAAGCAACTCATTTTCCTCCTCCAGGTCTTTTCTTTCCAACAATCTTATAAATGCAGCAGTTTAATTGAAAAATGTTCTCACACTGAATTTCTGTCCAGTGAGAATTCACCCACCTTACATGGACTTCTTCCAGTTGAAGATGTTCTGATTCTTCCAGTCCAAATGTGAATTTATTTATTTAATATTCCTACAGTGATGCTGCCTCTAACTGCAACATCTGGCCAGAGGCAGTAAAATGTAGAAATCTATAAACTTGAACTTGTAAATTATTTTTAAAGAATTACTTGTTGGGGTCAAACTTGTCAACAACCATTACTTTGTTTTATTTAAGTATAAAGTCAGTTTATGGTTTGGGCGGGTGAAATAATTAATTAAAGGTTAAGCTGCTCAGTTATTTCACCTAAAAGTAATAAACCTCCCTGGAACTGAAAACTCACTTTCCTCGCTCAGGATAAATTACCTCAGTTTGCTGAACTTCATTCCTGGAACCCCCCAGGCCATTTCCAGCCCCATGACGACTTCAATCTGGCCCACTTAATAAATACATATATATAGGGGTTGTTTATTGCATTTATGATTCAATGCAGTAAAATAAACCAATTTAAAAGGTAACGGTTTATTGTAATACTTTTGAATGTACATAATGACTAACTGCTGGATGTCCAGCCCCTGAGCTGCTGGCTTTCAGAAACCGTGCCCCCCTGAGCAGTTTAGTTCAATAGCTCTGGTTTAAATGGTACCGATGGTTCTGGAAGTTCACATCCTGCCTGTGTGATCCTATTTTTGCCTTAAACAGAAGGATTTACAGTAAACGGCCTCTGCCTGTTGGGACTTTAGGAATGCCAAGATTTCAGTCATGCACTGTAGGACGTGACTGTACGTGTAGTTACTGACACCTCTGAGTTTTAAACAGGTCAGTGGTTCATTCTGTACACGTGTTTGTTTTCTCAAGTGTGTGTACATTTGCAAAATCATTAAACTCAATCAGGTTTTGACATCTTATTTGATTGTTTTTTATTTTATGGACCGTGTGTTGCTTTAATCTCTATGTGGTACAACTTTAAACAAAGAGGGGGAAAGATAAAACTTCAAAAACTCTGTATTTTTTGTGCATTTATAAAACACCCTCATTCTGAGAAATGATTTTTTTTTGTAGTCTTTGCTTTCACACAAGTAACATGTACATCACAGAACATGCAGTCAACGATTTAATCTTAATACTGGTTTATTGTTGTTTTATTACAAGATACAGCACAACCATGTCAAGCTAAATAAAAATGAAAACACTCAAAGAATTTGTAAAATTTGATTTCAGCCTCATCTCAGCCTCTTTAAACTTTTTTTTAGTAATGCACAAATGTCAAAGTAAATAAGTTATTGCCACTATATTTACAAATCAGACTTCACCCTACTGTTGGCATGGTTACTGTAAAAAATGGATATTTCAGTCATTTTAACAGATTTTCTCCCCTCACAAACTTAATGATGCAACACAAATGTGTTCAGGTTACAGAAAAGTTCATTAACCTGGAATTAAAAGTAGATAAACATGCAGTATCAACTTTCAGTAGAAACTTAAAACGTGATAATTCGTGCTAAATATCTTTAAAGGTAAATTGAGAGAATAACGGATAGCAGTGATTTAAAGGACTGACTGTTTACATGGTAACTATATTAGCAATTTCTCAGCTCGTGAAGGCCTAAAACTGGTCATTTCCCACTTCTTCTCGTCAGTGTCATCATTTCAGGTGGTTTTGTCATGTCCAACTAAAAATGGAGCATTATCCAAAACTATTAAATACGGCATCTGTTTCATCTTAAAGCCTGTTTTGAAATGAGTCCGTGTGTGTCAGACTCAATGAGGACTTTTATTGCTGCTGTAAAAGTTGGAGATGGAAGTTTGAAATGACAACTTTAATGAATTACAATACAAGCTGAGTATTTTATTAAGCTGTCTTTACCAGCTTATGCTCTACACGATACTTGAAGCAAACACTTGGAATGTGCTTGTGCAGAGGAAAATAAAACATTTCAGTACTGTTAACCTAGATATGGAAAATGTTCTGAAGAAGATGGCGAGGACATTTAGAGCAGAACACATTTGCGTCTTTTCTTAGGTTCGGGAGGCTCCAGGGCGGCCAGTATTGCCTCATCAAACACATTCTTTAATCCTTTCTGTGGAAACAAAATGTTATTATTGAAAACACAGCTTTTCCAAACACGTACTGAACATCCACTCAAACTAGATACAAAATAAATCTGACTAACAGTTGAGCAGGTAAATCAAAACTTCACTTTATTTAAGTAACATCTTACAAGACTCTCCTCACGATCAAACCGAGTAATGACCAAAGCCTGCAGCAGTGGAGAAAACATCTTACAAACCGTCTAAGACAGAATGTAGAGTACATGTAGAAAATAAAGAGACAAGTTCATTACTGGGAAAACAGAAGGTCGTTTATAACTGAAATATGTCCAGTTACATCGGGAGGGAAAGAAAGTTTAAGATTGGCACTCCATTATCTTAGGCAGCAAAGGTAAATGATTAGGTGGGAGTTGAAAAGAACACACGATCGGAAGAGGAAAAAATGTTACTGGGCACAGAGTATTAAATTTGAAGAGTGCGTGGTTACTTATGTGAGAGACTTTTCTTTACAATGAAAAAGCAGCAGACGAGGCAAAGCAAGATGCAAGAAGACATCAGAACAAGCAGCATTTTCTCTTTCTCTGAGTTTCAGGGGGCTCTAAAGCAGCTAGGATAGCCTCATCAAATACGTTCTTCAATCCCCGCTACAGGAAAAAGAAAAAACACAGATACACACACAGAGTTAGAAGAAGACAAAAGCTGTTAGTAAAAGACAAGCCAGAGCATTTCCAGCCTCGCCGTTACACGCATGTTAAAATACACCCGTTACTAAAGGAAGGTCCTACCTGTGTTAGAGCTGAGCACTCCACATATTTGACTGCCTTCAGGTCACGAGCCAGCTTTTCTGCTGTCTCAGGGGTGATGGGCTTTTGTTTGTTCTTAGCCAACTTCTCCACGGTGGAGGGGTCATCACGGAGGTCGATCTGAGTGCCTACCAACAGGAACGGGGTCTTGGGACAGTGGTGTGTGATTTCAGGAACCCACTAGAGGGGAAGAAAAATAAATAAATTACAATCACGGGTTTAATGCAATTTACACTCCAGGTGCTGGTCATAAAACTAGAATATCATGAAAAAGTTGATTTATTTCAGTAATTCCATTCAAAAAGTGAAACTTGTATATTATATTTATTCATTAGACTCAGACTGATCTATTTCAAATGTTTATTTCTTTTTAATTAATGTTGATGATTATAACTGACAACTACTGAAAACCCCAAATTAAGTATCTCAAAAAATTAGAACATTGTGAAAAGGTTCAATATTGAAGACACCTGGTGCCACACTCTAATCATCTAATTAACTCAAAACACCTACAAAGGCCTTTAAATGGTCTCAGTCTAGTCTAGTTCTGTAGGCTACACAATCATGGGGAAGACTGCTGACTTGACAGATGTCCAAAAAACGACCATTGACACCTTGCACAAAGAGGGCAAGACACAAAAGTTCATTGCTAAAGAGGCTGGCTGTTCACAGAGCTCTGTGTCCAAGCACATTAATAGAGAGGTGAAGGGAAGGAAAATATGTGGTAGAAATAAGTGTATGAGCAATAGGGATAACCGCACCCTGGAGATGAGGGTGAAACAAAACCCAATTCAAAGTGTGGGGGAGATTCACAAAGAGTGAACTGCAGCTGAAGTCAGTGCTTCAAGAACCACCACGCACAGATGTATGCAAGACATGGGTTTCATGTCCTTGTGTCAAGCCACTCTTGAACAATAGACAGCGTCAGAAGCGTCTCGCATGGGCTTAAGACAACATGGACTGGACTGCTGCTGAGTGGTCCAAAGTTATGTTCTCTGATGAAAAGTAAATGTTGCATTTCCTTTAGAAATTCAAGGTCCCAGAGTCTGGAGGGAGAAGAGAGGCACAGAATCCATGTTGCTTGAGATCCAGTGTCAAGTTTCCACAGTCAGTGATGGTATGGGGTGCCATGTCATCTGTTGGTGTTGGTCCACTGTTTTCTGAGGTCCAAGGTCAAAGCAGCCATCTACCAGGAAGTTTTAGAGCACTTCATGCTTCCTGCTGCTCACCAACTTTATGGAGATGCAGATTTCATTTTCCAACAGAACGTGGCACCTGCACACAGTGCCATAGCTACCAGTACCTGGTTTAAGTACCATGGTATCCCTGTTCTCAATTGGCCAGCAAACTCACCTGACCTTAACCCCATAGAAAATCTATGGAGTATTGTGAAGAGGAAGATGCGATACACCAGACCCAACAATTCAGAAGAGCTGAAGGCCACTATCAGAGCAACCTGGGCTCTCACAACACCTGAGCAGTGTCACAGACTGATGGACTCCATGCCACGCTGCATTGCTGCAGTAATCCAGGCAAAAGGAGCAACAACGAAGTATTGAGTGCTGTACATGCTCATACTTTTCATGTTTGTACTTTTCATGTTTGTACTTTTCAGTTGGCCGACATTTCTAAAAAAATTATATATATATATATATATATATTTTTTTTTTTTTAATTGGTCTTAAGTAATATTCTAATTTTCAGAGATACTTAATTTGGGGTTTTCATTAGTTGTCGGTTGTAATCATCAACATTAAAATAAACATTTGAAATATATCACTGTGTAATGAATTAATATAATATACAAGTTTCACTTTCTGAATGGAATTACTGAAATAAATCAAATTTTTCACAAGATTCTAATTTTATGACCAGCACCTGTAGATGATTTGGTTCAAGAAAACACTGTGGAAACATAAGATGCATTTAGCCGTCTCTAACGGTGCATAATAAACAAGACAAAAGTGCAGATCTTTCAGTAAGCAGAACATTTCAAAAAAAGATCCCATAGACATCTTAATATTTTCTATAAATTAGCAGGCTGCATGACTAAATTATATCCATCCACACACCAACTGGTTCTGATTTATACGTTTTGGTTTTCAAGGTTTGTTCTATTGAAAATGTTTTTTAGGCTTTCATTTACATCATTTGGATCTTGTTTTTTTTAAAGCATTGATTTTGAGTTAGAGTGCAAATTAATATTTACATATAATAATTCAATCTGGATTAATGTCTGGCCGAGTTTTTTTGATTGTTGATAAATTAGTCTAAAATGTTTACATCAGAACTTCACTGTTATGGTCAAAACTAAAAGCACAGTTAACTGTTTTTAGTAAAAGCTTTATTTTGTTTTGTAAGCAAAGCACTGCTTTTACACAGCAATGCTACTGCTAATGCACTAATAAATAGTCTTGTAAATATAAACAGTGCATGTGAGAGCAGGCATCTCAAACCAAATATGATCCATGGTGGGGTTTTCATCTTCCTGATATTTTAACATGTTGAAACACAGAGAGGACTACTTCAGTCTAAACACACAGTCCAACTCTAGCCTATCTGTAATAATCCCTTTGTCTAATGGGGCTGCTGTGCATTAATAGTGAGCCTCTGGTTGGGATCGTGTGGACATCACTTCAGACCTCAACACTAGACTCAGAGCATGTTGCAAATCCTGGCATTAAAGAACGTTCAACACGAGGCCTTGAAGAGATTCACTTTGATCAACTTGGCATGAGTAATGCCGAACAGACGTGGACAAAGAAGACTACGAGTCAGTAGAAAATAATTCAGAAAATATGGAGGAAAATTTTAAAAAATCATTCAACTTTATGAATGCAGAACTGACAAGAGTAGCATCTCAGCAAGAACTCCTGATCGGTCTGAGGAAGTGAAGAAGTTGAAAGTTCTGATAAATAACAAATCAAAAACATAGCTGAACTGGAACAAAAAGTAGATGATTTGGAACAACTTAACATGAGTGTAAAGCCTCCAGTATGCTGACGCGTACGTACGCGTGTATTGTACGCAGAGGGTTCAGACTTCAGAGCAGCTTCACAGACAAGGGGCGTTTACCTTCGGGACAAATTGAGGTCGTTGATTGGTCATTTGCTGACACGCCTACTGGATTGACAGGTCGGAAAAAAGCGAGCGCTGGCAGCCTCCGCCGCAGCGGTGTTCTGTGTTTATATGTTGTTAATAAAAAGATCTAAATTTTTTTTAAAAACAGGGAGCGCTGGTTCTACAGCCCACACATCAGACCAGCCCACCAGGAAATCTCCAGACCCTCCCGCAGCCATGCTGGACCTGAGTTTAATTCGCTCGTGACAAATTCCTCCATTTCTCACCATTTCAGTCATGGCATCAACGAAGGAGGAAGAGATCACTGCCTCTTGGCAAAAAAACAAAAGAAAAGGCCAGATCAGGGATGAAGAAGGGGAATTTAATACATTGGTGTCACATACAAAACAGTCTGTCGCTGGGCAGTTTATTGTGCGACACTGCATACATGGTCATAAAAATTTGAGCTTTGCACGGACATGCCCTGGGGGGTACGCTCGTACCTCTGCGTACGTACGTGCGTACCTATGTGTACGTACGTGCGTACCTCTGTACGCGGCAGTATACTGGGGGCTTAAGAAGTAATGATGCTACTCAGACTGTAGTTTTATTTTATACAAACTAAAATTCTGACCAACTTTTAATTACCGTAGCTTGAAGAATAATTATGGCCCCAAAAAAGAATGTGACGGTAAAAGCACTTGAGGTTTGACAAAATGAGAGCAGCGAAACTGCGAAAACCAAGCTGAGTTTTTCAGGTAAGTCTAGATGCTTTCTTCCTGCTGTTCTGCTTCCACAGTAAAAAAACATGAGCTCTTCTGACCAATGGTGTCAGCTGATGCAGAGGATTGAAATGTGGTTCCCAGCCCAGCAAGCAGATTACACAGCTTATTAAGCCAAAGTAGGAACTTTCTTAAAATGATTAAAATGGCTTCCTGTAATGAGAACTTAGAAAAGAAACCTCTACAAGCCTTTATTTATTTATTTACAAAATTTAAAACCAAAGGAAAATATGACAGAGTGAACTACGATTGCAATTTAATGTCTGAATGAAACAAACTGTGGCTTGAAAAGTGACTTTATTGTCAAGTGACGAAACTCGCTGTTAAACTGACGTTGCAAACTCACCTTTTCTTTAACGTTCTCAAATGAGGAGGGTGAAACAACGGAAAAACAGACTAGGAAAACATCAGTCTGAGGGTAGCTTAGTGGTCGTAACCTGTCGTAATCTTCCTGACCTGTGGAGAGACGAGACAAAATGGTTTCACTGTAAACAGATGAACTGCTGTTAAATTTAAGCCGTTTTAAACTAGATCATTTATGCATCATAAAGCCAATGATTATGACCTACACCAGTTGGGTAGGGGCCCTACTGTGAATCATGAAACATAAGGGGGGGGGGGGGGGGGAGTAATTTCCTAAGCAGGTCTACCAGAATCAAATTACCTTTAGCAATGATTGCCATTGCATTTTTTACTTATAACCATTTATTTAATTTCAAACAGTTAAAATTTCAACAAAAAATAAAAATGTAAATATTTATATCAAAATATTCTGCAAACAAAAAAAAAAAGTTTCGATAAGGGAGCAAGAAGAAGCAAAGACCTACCCAGTCTTGTCCCCCAAGTTTAGATATAAATTCTGAATCAAACTAGTGATTCAATACATAAATACACATATAACTGTACACACGTAGCTAAGTATACCTACACATACATCAATATACATGCAGATACAAATTTAATCTCGTATCACCAACAGATCAAAGCTTAATATGCACACACACAGATTAACAAATTAACATTTGGAATCACATCATTTTGTCTCATTCATTTTTGTACACATTAATTTTGTACTCTATATTTTCTCTTGAACTGTGCAATATTTTTACTTTGCTTAAGCTCTTCATCTAACCCATTCCACAAAATCACTGATACAAATACTTTATTATAAACACTGTAATTTACTTTACTTTTACCCACACTTCGCAAATCAACTAACGACCCCTAATCTGGTGTGCCCCATCTTTTAGTTACATTTCAAAAGGTACACACAGAAGTAGACTGTCACATGCAACCAGAAAAACAACATACCTGCTGTATCAAACAAGCCCAGGGTGTATGGTTCACCCCCAATCATTACAGTAACTGCATAGTTGTCAAACACCTGTAATCAAAACATTAAATGCATGTCATAATGAGTTTGAGAGTATTCCTCCGATTATTTATTACATGTGATCAGATATTGAGCTTACTGTGGGAACATATTCAGATGGGAACTTGTTTGTGGTGTATGAGATCAGTAAGCAGGTTTTTCCCACTGCTCCATCTCCCACCACCACGCACTTGATCGTCTGCATCTCTTGTGCTTTCTTGCTGCTGCTGGCCTGAAAGCTGCAGGAAGAGGGGGGAGGCGATGCCTTACAAGGATTAGGCCATTTTATAAACTACAATGAAACGCATACAAGGACTCTGAACAATCAATGCCAGATGCGTGCTGGCTTTTAAAATCCTAACATCACCCTGATGGACCAGTAAGGTCCCAGAAAATTGAGTTTTCGCACGTAAACTTGTTCAGTCACACCCCATTATGATTAAAACTGTGCGAAGGCTAACGTTAGCGAGTGACTAGGTTTTTCCTCTGAATAACCTAGCTGAAATGACTATTTAACAATAAGGCTAAAGATCAATAACAAAACGTGGCTTTGTTTACTGTAACGAAATACAAAAGGCAGAGAAAACGCGTTTGTGTATCGTGGAACAAACTATGCTAACGTAGTGCTAGCACAACGCTAACCACTAGGTTAGCTTAGCCACCAGCCGGCTAACGGGAGTTTGTGTTGGTAAATTCACCGAGCCCGGAGGGGAGGAAATATTTTATTGCAAATAAAACTTAACCCAAGGAAGTAAGAATATGTTTAAATTACTCACCTGTGCCGAACCGTGGGTACGTTAGCTGTTTGTTTCGCCGGGCGTTGGCACCAGCGAGAAGAAACTTGGTTCCGTCCGAAAAAAAGCCTGACTTGTTCCCCCACAAGTCGAGCCTAGCAGGGTTGCACCGGAAGTTGTTTTCAAAATAAAAGACCCAGCTTTTATTATAAAACATGACCCACATACTACACAAGACAGCAAGAGTAATTCATGGGCGTTCAAAATAACATTTTTATAATTCATAATCTAAGCTATTGTGCTTGCATGTAGTTTTTATATCGAAACTGCAAATGAGCATGCTTCAGGAAAAACTGCAAATGATTCCTGTTATGCTTTTATATTAAAAGCCAACGTTCCTTGGTCATGTTTGCTGTCTTTACCTTGTTTTCCTGAGAGTGGTTCATGCAGCAGGAGTGGTGATGTCACCTCAAATCCCTCTGACCTTGCATCCTATTTTGAATAAGAAAAACAACATATACACTTTTGGATGAAGATTTAGTAAAGATAGATGTAATCAATTTATTTTATTTCAAGTTTGTCTTGAAGCAAGTGGATGCACAAAAATAGCTGTTGGAATACCCAGAGGAGATTCAGCTAACCTATTTAAATGTTCACACTGAAAGAGGACACTGTATACAAACTGTGGAGATTGAAGCATCACCAATACACAAGTTTCCATCAGTGTCTGCGTTAGAGTGGCTATTTCACTGTGGAAACTTGCTACAAGCTCAGAATACAGGAGAATTACAGAACTGATAAAGTCAAATGTTCCTATTTGGAGTCAGAATCACAACTGTGTGTAAGTATTTTGCACTGCAGCATAGACTTAATTGGTGCCAGAATTATTTTAATTTTCTCACAAAAGGAGATTCAGACAATATAACGAAGTGAAGTCAGGTCCTCTGGACTTTTTTTTTCTTGTTGAAACGTTTCATCTTTTATCCAAAAGACTTCTTCAGTCTGAGGAGCTGCATCAGACTGAAGAAGTCTTTTGGATAAAAGCTGAAACGTTTCAAGAAGAAGAAACTGTCCAGAGGACCTGGCTTCACTTCGTTATACTTTTCTACCTGTATTATTGAGCATGCATCGGGAGATATTCAGAAATATTGCAATTTATGTTGAGAACATGGTTGTCCCACACTTTGTGGGTGCTACAGATGGCTCTTTTATTACCCATCATTGCATCATTGCCGGCCGAAGCAGATGGTCGCTTGTCCTGAGCCTGGTTCTGCTGGAGGTTTCTTCCTCATGAGTGGCTTTTTCCACTGTCACCTTCATGCTTGCTCAAGATGAGAATCTGTGATGAAGTTGAACTCAAAGTAGTCTGCCCCTCAGATAAATAACGTTATTACCGTAACTTACTTTATATATATATATGAATGTTTCTGCACAGTGTCATGAGATGACTTCTGTTGTGACTTGGTGCTCTATAAATAAACTGAATTGAA